TGGTAAAAACAATAAGCTACTGGGTCTCAAATGGTTCTGAACAGGCTACAACAGAGTTGCACCATCAGAGGTCCACAAGATGTTAATATGTGGTCTGTAAAACATAACTGGGGAAGTAATTTTCCAGGCTGCCTGTAGGTGCAATCCCTTCTCTTGCTCTGATAAGCACTTTATCTGAGCTATCATTTTGGAGATGCCAACATAAAAAGCCTGGGGCCTAAGAAGTGAATCACCTCTTTGAATTAAAAGATGCTGAAACATACCATAGCCAGTGGATGTTAAAGATGCACAGAGAAGGAACTGTTTGGTTGGGGTATTTTTTATAATTTAAATTTAAAAAGCAAAGATTTAGCAGTCAACAAAGTTACTGTATAAAAAGAAAAAGGCAGTAAGAGAACAAACGTAAGCCTTTCAATCTTTTAGGTAGATGATGTGGAACACACTGTTATACACTGTGCTTCAACAGTCCATTTCAAAACACTCCCTTCTTTCTCCTCTCACCCCCCATATTTGTACCATTATTTTTACAGCAGCTAGAAAGCTGACCTGTTACTGACTTAATTCTTACATGGACCAGTCCTAGCAACTCTGCTGCCTGTTGCACTTAAGATCAAAACTAGAGCTAAGGAAAGCCTTGGCCTCTTTCTCACTACTCTGTGTAACTACTAATGTGAAAGCAGCAGAGAGAACAGTTTAATTCTGCTTCCTTTATGAAAACTGTGAGAACCAAGATGAGTGAAACTGCTCACTGGAGAAGTGAGAGATCTGGATGAGGGAGGAAGATGCACCCAAGATGCTACAATGAAGGGAACTGCAAAACACATTCTTTTCTGTCCGGAGTTGGAAAACACACAAGAATGTAGATCCTGTTCCAACAGTCAGAGGGGCTCTGCAACAAATTTCTAAGCAACTACAAATCAAAGGTTTGGTATGAAAATTTAGGAGATGCTAAGCAGGATCTGGGTAGAATATCATTGCAAACATCCCAGGAACAGCATCTTGAACTTCTCTACAGACTGTACTCATACCCTGCCAGTACAGTTCAATGATCAATTTCTGACACATTACTGTGATCTCAGGAATGTACATGGTGATCTTTCAACTTCCCCAATTTATTCAAATGTCCAAGTAAAAACTAAACAGTCCTGACATACTTTCAAAACCTCAACTGACTTATGGAAGTATTGCCTCTATTGAAACTGAATGTAAGCAGCATTCTTCACAGCTGTAATTTTACTAGCAGCTCTCTAAGCAAGAGTTTGACTTGTGTGAATATTAGTGATCACAAAAATATAGGACAAAGAAAAGCAGTGATCAACTGGCCTGATACCACTCAAAATACTGAAATAACATCTTTACCTCCCAATATGATGGATTTATGTCAAGTGTCAGACTCAAAGTGCAGTCAGTTTAGGCTGACATACATAGAAACAAGTCTGCCAAACAAAACTAATTTGAGTTAAGACCCTAATGTCTCCACTACATGTTTTGGGGAGGCCCACCCCAATAAAACAAATGCCAGTTTGTACGTTTGAGTGCATTTTTTTAATATATTTTCATCCAAAAGGAACCTAGCTTATCCACAATAAGCTAGGAATAGCACAAACCAATATGAAAAAAACTTCCTAAATGATGATGACTGTGATACTTCCTTCAAGAACACATCCTTGATCCAAGTGAACACAGTAACGTAGGTGCATACTTTATTAGCCTCGGGCCATTTCTCTAAGCAGATTTAATTTCTCTAAGCAGATTAATTATATCATGGATGGCAAAACACCTAAGTTTAATGCCATGCAGACTAAGCTCAAAAACAGCCTGAGCTACTAAGGCAAGTGCTACATAAACACAGCTATAATATTCCAGGTTCAACTTTGGCCTAGAATGAACTCAGCTGCCTTCTACACTGCACTTCTGACTTAAGTCCTGGTAGAACCAAGCAACATGCAGAGCAATCTGCACCAATCTTCTGAAACTTGGAAAGAGTACAGGGACAGCCATAGGTTCTAAGGTTAAGTAAAATCCACTGAGACTGGGAAATCTTGTCATGATGAGATGCCTGCTGGGATGGAGCTCTGTCCACTAGGAGCATTCTGGCTGATTTACAACTAAGCAAACGCAGAGAGCTCACCTTAGGGCTGGAAGAAAGTGTCTGAGTCCACACAGAACTCAAAACTACTATGAAACAAGGATCACCATCACCCAGACACTGCTGCCTTGTTCTTCTTTATCATCTCTGACTCCTAGAAGTCCCAATAAGAGGGGACTGAGATTGTACTGGTCTGGCTGCACTGTTAACACAGTAATTTCTTTTAAAATCATAGTATTTTTTAACCTTCTGTTTTACTGACTCCATTTTTTTTAAACAGAGGTGAAGAGATATGTCATAAGCAGAATGCAAACTCAATAAAAATTGCTGGCAGTGAAGGTATTTTAAATTGATAATCCCATCATCCACTTAAGGCAGCATCATAATTCTACCACTGTTACAGAATTAATATCAGTATCTCTGTTTATACATCAGAAACTTTATGTGTTAAAAGTTTTATTAATTTAGAAACTTGCAAAACATCTTAACCAATTTCAAAGTTCCCATGAAGCAACCAGTTACCATACTTACTACTGTTACACCAAAGTTAAAACTGACTGCAAAACCCCTCAAGTCTTAATGCACAAAACTCACGTGTTTTAGGAATGCATACATGAGGTGACATAGCAACAGTGAGAGTATGGCTGACATAGTTTGATTTAATTTTATCTGATTTTAACTTCCTTTCAGTATTTCCCCAAAACACTTCTGCACCACAAAAAGTCTGTGCCTTTAGTCTAGAATAACTTGCACAAAATGGCTGTGCAGGCTGAAGAAAAGATACACAACAAACTTTTCTGTTAAAGTCTGTACTCTCACAGGCTTGTGCCTTGGTCTCTACACAATGGGTGGATATTTAAGCCATTCCATTATAAAAGCAACCTCCTAGTTTGTCACCCAACAAAGAAGCTGTTTATATTATTACTTGTTGTCAAAAAGGCTCCCTAAAAGAAAAATCTTCTATTCCAAGCCAACTGGTTTCCTCAGTGAAAATGACCATTTTCTCAGACCCCTACAGTTTTCTCCAAAATGGCCTGCAAGCAAAGCAAGATTTAAATGTTAAACACCGCACGCATGGGGAGAGATAAAATATATTATAGGTATCCTAAGCTAAAAACAAAAATACTAGTACTTGCTCTAGCTTGTTTTTCAGAAGTCATCTAGAAAGAGTTTAGTAACTGCTGTGGAATAGTTGCATCCCACCCTGTTATTATGAAGCAACACAAAAAGCAACATGTTTACCCCAACCAAAGCCTCCGTCCCAAAGCCCTTTAAGCAGGGCTCCATTAAGTATGTCATGAGAACTTAAAAGATATTTGATTTAATTCCTAATTCTATGCCTCTGCACCTATATAAAACCCTGGTTAGTGAAGTAAGTGACTTTCCATTCTAACTTGGCTATTGACTCTTCCCAAAACAGAAACTCCTTCTCAGGGGAAGTAAGAAACTCTGCTATTCTTCCTTATAATTTGCTCTGGACTCACCCCATAAATGCTGATGCAATACCTGAACCAATGCTTTCCTGCCACACACAAAAAAAGGACCAATACTCAGTGAGTGTATTTTAGGCTCAATGGGCTAAGAAATAGAAAACTTTTGAGAGCTCACTTTCTCTAAGGCCGTTTAAGACCTAAAAAAAGAAACAACAAAACCGTTAGTTGTGTTCAGGATATTCCCTGTGTTGAAACAAAAAACCCCTCCTCCAAGCAGACAAAGGTCTTTTTCTTCAACGGAAAAAGACATTATGAGAAAAACATGCCGTGTGCACATCACAACGGCTCCCGACACGGATGAATCACTCCCGATTATTTTACGCACGACCTGCCAACACGTGTTTTAAGAAGACCACGCCAATCCACGCTAAAGACAATAACTTCCTTGTCGCAATATATCACGTTTCCTAGCGTGATCGGTTTCCCCGACGTGCAAAAGCAAAAATCCCACCCACAGTCTAAGGCGGCCGGGCGCCAGCAAAGCTCCGCGCAGCTCCGGGTCCCGGCCGTGCCACGGGCTCCCCTCGCCTCCCGCGGGGCCGCTCCCGTCCCTCTCGCCGGGGCGGCGGAATGGGCCCCTCCGCGTCCCAGCGGGAGACGACGCGAGCGGGTCTCGCGAGCACCGCCCCGAGGCCGCTCGTCCGTTCCACGCCCCGTCCAGGCCCGAGCCGCCTCCCCAGCGAGCGCCCGCCGCGGCCCAGCGGCCTCGGCCGGTCCCGGCCGTGCCTCCGCCCAGCGGGCGGCCGAGGCGCCGCCGCCGCCTGCCCTCCCTCCTTGCCTCCCTCTTGCCCCCGCAGCCCCCCGGGTCTCACCCTCGGAGCGGAGCGGGGCGGGGATGGCGCGGGGGAGGCGCTGGGCCGGCTGAGGCCCCGCTAGGCCGCGAACGCACCGCGCCGAGCCGCTGCCGCCGCGCCGCGCGGGGTCATGTGACCCGCCTCTTCCGCCAGCGGCCCGGCGTGCACCGCGCCGCGCCACCACAGAGCCGGCCGCGCCAGAGCGCCCCCAGGCGGCGCCGCGGCCGGCCGTGGAGCGGCGGCGGAAGGCGGGCAGCCAAGGGGCATGCGCGCCGCCGCCATCTTTAGCGGGGGCGGCGCGGGGCCGTGACCCGGCCGGAGCGCCGCCATGTCGGGGCCAGGGTGGCCCGAGGGCCTGGAAGCCTCCGGCGGCGGGGCCACGGAGCTTGGCCGTCTGTCAGCCGTCATGGCCCCCTCAGACAGACAACCAGCCCAGGGACGGGCTGTACCGCAGGCAGGGAATCCCCTCCCTCGACCTGCCCTCATTGTTTGGGATGCAGCCCAGGATACAGCTGGCTTTCGTGGAAGGTTCTGTGTGCTGTAAAAGACTTAAGGATTTACACAGCAAAAAGAGTGAGCACTACCTTTTTAGGCAGCCGCATGCTCGTCAGAAAGATGTCACTGTGCTGTTGGGCCTAGCCATGGTCTACAACTGGTAGTTTCTCTGACCTACTTTCAGCATTTGGACTACATTAAGAGCCAATTTTCAACATGACATGCAAGACAGTAATTGCTGTAGTTATACCGCTGTTGGAAATAAGTTGCAAGTGGAAAGAGGAAGTGACTATGAATGAGAAGAACATGATCTTACAGATTATTATGAGGTAGACCACAAAATGACCATGTGCATAAAACTGTTTAAAAAATGTTGGATTAGGTAAGGGAAAAAAATGTGTTGTATTTTCCATTGTTTAAAGAAAAGTGTTCAAAAGACAAGAGTCCAATGACAAAATCTCCACCTGTAGGCTGACTTCTTCAGTACAAAGCAGATTAAAACTATCTGGTTGATGTCATATGTGCTACTGAACAGCCAACAACTGTGTTGGAACTAAGGTCCCATTCATCACCTTGCTTTACGTGATGTGTAAGGGTAGATATTCTAGCAATAGCAGATTTAAGAAATATTTCAAGTTTGACTGCAATTTCTTGCCCACCAGAAACAGCAGTTTTGCCTTCTATTAATTACAGCTTATTCCAAACAGCTGGCATATCTCCCTCAAAATAATACAAATTTAGTAACTACAATACTGACTACTGTTAATAGTTAAAAAATTTTATAAGCATACTAGGAAAACCAAGGAAAAGAAAAAGGCATAACAAAAATTTTCAGAATCTTCTCTGTGTTGTCTCAGACAACAACAGCTCAGCTTAAAAAGAAATGTGAATCCCAAACTATTTTGTACTGCTGTAATAAGTTTTTATTTACAGGAAACATTGCAAAGGCTTTGCTCATGTACACATTCATCTATTTTTTTAGCCAAAGAAAGAGGCTATTTTGCATTTATTCTTCTTACACAAATAAACTATAGCCTTCTGTATCCTTCTTAATCAAGGAAGAATAGCTGCAGAAGTATCCAGTAAATGTAGCTATTTTCCTGTCTTTACTCTTTCTGCTATGGGATTTTAGAATTACCCACCCCTGGTGCCTGTATTATCTTCCTGCCTTTCACTTATGCAACTGAGATCCCTTTTCCAGATACTGATCACTATTCATTTTTTTCAGTTCTCACGGCAAACTCCAGAATTTTGTGCTCAAGCCAAGCATGAAGATTGTAGTACATGGCTTTTAATATTAAGGTTAAAATTAAGAGGTGCGTTTTTGTCTGCCTTGTATTTCAAGCATGAGAAATCATCCCAAAAATGTTCGGCAGTACCTCAGGGTACCGGGGTCACATTGTTTCTAGACTATGTATTTTAAAAATTTTATATGCATGTTTTTCTTCCCTTCTTCATATCCTTTAATTGCTCCACCACATTACCAGTCTAAATAGAGGCACTTCGAGGAAGATCCCTTAGATGCCAGACTCATTGATCTCATTCCTTGGCTCCTCTGAATAGCACTGTGAGATTTAAAAGTTTCTACCTCATATGTATTAGTTTAATTCATTATTCGGGATCTTTTCAGTCTGAAGACATTTGGTTCACCAAAACTGTATTCTTGTAGATGTCAGTCTATTTTGTCAATCTCTTAAATTAATCTTTCATGAAAATACATTATTGTAACAGCGTGAAAGAGAACAGGGAAGAGAGTTACTGTGCCAGTCTTCAGTCATTCATCATCACTAAGCTACATAAAAAAATAATTAAATCATGTATATGCCTACACAAATATATATATATAGTACAGTCTAGTGTAATGAAAGTTCTTCAGCAATACACTTTAATTCTGAGAGGGCCTCAGTCATTCCTTGTGTTAGAAAATTCATTGATGCCTCATTTTCACAGTAATTGGATCTGTTGACTCAGTTTTGTGAAGTGATGATACTTCAAAGTAATTACCTTGTAATTTAACTCCATTTTAAAACTGTTTGTCCAAAACTGAAGCAGGAGACCAAAGAACAGGGCACCTTGTAGCTGTCTATTAGTCGTATCAATTTGTAATGTCCACTGAAGGAAAAGAGTGCATGTCCCTCCTCTGATGAAGTAACCACTAGCATTTGAGCCAAACAACCAGCCGAAAACTCTTGTTACTTTAGAAGATGAATTGCCTGTGCACTGGTTATGCTACAACATGTTTTTGCATATTATCTAAATCAGCGAATGAAAAACAACTCATTATGAGCCAACATTGGGTTTGGAGCCACTACTGGCCAAGGCTGCTTCCTCACCGAATGCTTTCTTTGATCATCTCTGTCTGGCGTTCACCTCCCATTCCCATGGCTCCAGTGAATCTGCCATTTCTTGGCAGGTGTGTGCCTCTGTTTTGGACCTGCAGTCCCTTTCAGCTATATAAATTATGGCTGTTTACCCATAGGTTGAAGCTACAGTCATGGAAGAAACCCCAGAGGCTCCAGTGACAGTGACCAGTGGCTCTCTATGTCAACACTTCATTTAAACCGATGAGTGGCAGGTGAGATTTGGGCACCAAGTGCTCTCCTCTCAGGTGGACACTGTGATCGATCCATTCGTTTGCCAGACGTGGAAGCCTGGAGCAGCTGCCTTGTCATTCTCCAGGCGGTGGGAGGAGAGAGCTTCGCTACATTTTTCACCCCTTTAAACCCTTCTGGGGGCTGTTTACACTCCTCCGGCGCAGCTCCTTGGGAACCCAGGCAGGTGTGAGACAGTGGGGCGAAAACGAAATGAGGGGAGTAAAAAACTTCGTTGTCACCGCAAGGTCCGCGGCACCGCGCCCCCCCCGCCACGGGCACCGCACGTCCCGGCCGGCGCGGCGAGCCCGGGGCGGTGCAGCCTCCGGACTACAACTCCCGGCGTGCCAGCGCCGCCCCGCCTCCAGCTCGCCGCCTTCCCGTCTCCGCGGTGAGAAAATAACCCCGAAGTTCCCCGCGATCAGCTGATCCCGGCTGACAACGAGGGGAGCGGGCGGAGGGGGCGCGGGTCCTGGCCGGCCCTGCCCTGCTCAGTTCCCCCGGGCGCCCCGACTGCATGGTCGACCCCTGGGGGAGAAGAACCGGGAGATCCCCCCCGGGCGCGGAGGGCACGGGGGGGAGGAGGAAGCCGCGGCCGGGACCCGAGTCCTTAGTCACCGGGTGCCGGCGGGAGGAAGGGGAAGAAAGGTGGCCGCCGGCTTGTAAACAATAGCCCGGCTCGCGGCGCCCCGTGCCGCGCCGCCTTTGTTCCCAGTCCCGCCGCGGCTCCCGCCCGCTGCCGCTGCTCGGCGGGAGGAACCCGGGGGCTTCCCCCTTGCTGGCCGGCCGGCGCCGGGCGCAGCCCCAGGTAGGTCTGGGCGCGGGGGGAGGCGCCGGCCGGCACCGCCGTTACGTAACCGCGGGCGGGTGGCGGGGTCCGCCTGCAGCCCCCGCGGGCCGACGAGACACGAGTGCGGCCGCCCCGCGGGGCAGCGCCCGCCCGGGGCTGCGCGACTGGCGGGGAGAGGGGGCGCCGAGGGCATCCCGGAGCGAGAGGGGCTCCGCGCCGCCTGGGAGCGGGGGAGGCGGCCCCGAGGCAGCGGTCGAGACAAAGGCGGCGGCGGGGTGCGCAGGCTGCGCTCGGCGGGCGCTGGTCTAGGGGCTCTGCTCTGGCAACTTGGGGCGCAGAGGGACAGGGAAAAAAATCCGTCGTCTGTCAGCCTGACCGCGGTAGCGATCGTCTTCTAGTGTTACTAGAAGGAGCGCACAAAGAGAGCGGATTTTTGTTTATCTGGCGAAGCACATCAGGAAATTCCCAGCAAATAAATACTGTGAACTCTCTGAAGGAGGAGCTTAGCTGTGGAGTGAAAGCAGAGAATTTTCTAGTCTTGACACGGTCCTTTTGTGTCTGTGTACATATATATGCATTTGTGCATTTCTGATGCCTTTTTTGTCTCTGTGTCACCAGCTGTCTCCGTTCTCAGCTTCAGGGAGATACTTGCTGTATCTGTTGAAGTACGCCAGGCTGGGTTTTTTTTTCTCATCACTGGCAGTACATTAAACAGCTAAGCAGAGAAAGAATGTATACCAGCATTTGGGTATAATAATACATGAAACCAGCCATGTTGTCTAAGTTTACTTTGGAGAAAGAAAAGTTCATTAGTACTTAACAACACTTCCTGCAAGGCAGGTCAGTGTATGAATCTTGCAGAAACATATATTCGTTATTTAAAATTAAGTACAGACAACATTCCTCTTGTGTTTCTTTCTTTTGTGGAAATAGTAAATTTGGAACTGACTTTTACAAATATCATTGTTTGGAACAGAAACAGGAGGGAAAAACATTGCTTTAAAGAAATCTGGATATGAGTGCTCACACGCAAACTGTGGAGAAAGGACAGAACACGACACTCCTGTGCCAGGAAAGCTATGTTTGCAGTGGGACAGATGAAGCAATCTTTGAGTGCGATGAGTGCAGGAGTCTGCAGTGCCAGCGTTGTGAAGAAGAGCTGCATCAGCCAGAAAGGTTGCGGAACCATGAACGGACCCGTATAAGACCTGGCCATGTCCCGTACTGTGACTCCTGCAAAGGTGCCAATGGGAACATAATGCATGCCAGTATGACAGGCTCAAGGCAGATAGCAGCAGTGAGGTGCCAGGTGTGCAAAATCAACCTCTGTGTGGAATGTCAGAAGAGAACACATGCTGGGGGGAACAGAAGGAAGCACCCTGTCACCGTTTACCATGCTGGCAAAGCCCAAGAACAAGAAGAGGAGGAGGGGATGGATGAGGACACCAAGAGAAGGAAGATGACAGAGAAAGTTGTGAGCTTCCTCTTGGTGGATGAAACTGAGGAGATTCAGGTAAGAACTATTGTGGTTTGTTGTGAACAGGCAAGATGCTTTATTTTGTTTCTTAGTCTAACAGGCTGCTGTGATGGCATGGTTAATACTTGAAGTGTAGTTAGTGGCAATGGTAACAAAATAATGGCCAGGTAAAGTACAAGTGCCACTGAGCATCTTGGGCTAAAGAGACACATTGCCTTCGAGTGGCCTTGCTTATGAGTTCCTCAAAAGGTCAAGTTCACTAAACCTTATGTGTGGCAAGAGCCTCCTCTAAGAGGCTTGGTAAGCAAAGCTGGTGAAGGAATTGACTCTGTACTGAGACACACAACACTAAGATAAGAGCTGTCTGTGCAGGATGCTGATTGTTCCTGAGCAAAATTGAATATAGTGCATTGCGCTAGATGTCCTGCAAATGGGAGTGCTGACAGACAATTTCTTGCTGTATGACTAGGAGAGGGTACTGTACCAAGTAGCGGTAGTGCAAGACTACAGCCCATTGCTACCATTTAGTACCAGTAAATCCCTATGATTTTAGAAGTAGAACAAAATAGAAATGTGTCCTAAGTGTTCCATACAAGTCCTACAGGCATAATGGTTAAGTTATATTGCTTCTTAAAATATTATTTCATGTTAGCCTTTTGTTGAAAGAGGGGGGAAGTTGTCATTGGGGTAGGTTTGCTGATAAAAATGATAGGAACTAGTTGACTTGGAGCAGCCTCCCAGGAGGCACTATTTTAGAAAGCCTAGCATTCAATATATGCAGTTATAGAACTCTCCTGTTGGCCCTTATATTGGGTAAGCATTTTAGAAGACAAAATGTGTGAAAGCCACAGAGCATATTAATTACACAACTAAAAATTGAACTTTGTTTTCTGACTTTCAGTTTGCATTCCCTATGTTAAACCTCATTCAGGAGCCACTGAAAGAAAATGTATAGTCACCTGGAGACTCAGTATCAGGTTGCTCTAATTTAACTCATATTCATGCTATCATCATTAAAAAGAACTGTGATTATATTCGTATTCTTGATTCTTATTTGTATCCATCATAGTAACAGTTGATGTGCCTGTCATGCATCACAAGGAAATGTGACTTAAGTATCTCATATATATTCTATACTATAGAAGTGTGTGTAGATACATATATGTGTATGTACACAGTAATTACACAATAATATAGAATAGTCATATTTTTGTCAATTCGGGTGTACCGATTGCTGAATTGTCATGGCTTTTGAGGGGGAAAGGGAGGAAAGGATGACCAGTCCTTACTGTGCACTGACATAGAACACACACTATGCAGGACAGCTGTGACTGTAAACTGAGTGCTTGAATTTCAGTCTGTAGCAGTCTTAAGTTTGTATGCCTCCAAGCCATAAGCACACACTTATTTCCTTGTAATGTGTGACAGATGCAACTATTATTTTAAGATACAGACTTTTGAATAATCCTCATTTGGCCACTAGAGCAAGCTCTCAAATACCTTGGAACAGGGCTGTCCTGCAAAGCTGCTCACAAACTGTGTCTGTGTGTGGTTGTACTGGTTTAAGTTATATTTATACTCATGAATCTGTAAGCCTTATTGAGGTAGACCTTTGGCTGCCTCCTGCCAGCAAGTGCATTTACTCTTTAAATGTCATGGGCAATAAAGCCAACTTCCTTATTGGGACAGCAGTGGACCTTTATCAGATCATAGCAATTTGGTCAGAACAGGGTTGGGTTGAAGAAGCTCTCCAAAAATGATCTTATTTCACTATCAAGATGTTGAATCAGAGCTCTTCCATCTGGAAGCTCTTCCTCATATCTGAATACGTATGTGACATCTCACAGCCAGTATCAAAGCAGTTTGAGAGATTTCAGTTAAATTATTATCTGACAGCTGGAATTTAAGGAGTGATTGCTATTATAGTGATAATTCTACTAGTGAGCATAAGGACCTTTATTTAGAAAGGCCTGTCAGATGCCACAGAAGATGTCTTCAGAGCTAAGTAGTTGTCTTTTGCTCTTGATATTACTGAGGAGCCAATTTAGCTATAGGAAAGTGATCATTGGTCTGTTATTTTGTGCTTGTCATTACTTGGGGAGAAATCATTAGAATGTTCTTTATTTAAACCAACTTTTCGTCCAAAAATGCCCAAATATTAGTAACTTGAAATATGGAAGTTCAGAGTTTGAGAATGTGTGGTTTTTTAAGTTTGAGCAGACAGGATAAGAATTTAACAGAATTATGTAGTTCAGCTGTCTTTAAATGTTAGTGACCTTTGGAACTTGAAAATTGTTGCATTAGTTGGGAAATAAGAGAGGAAACTGCTAATTTGCTATCAATGGTAGATTCTGCCATAGCAATGTTAAAAGCTACACCACCCTACCACCCCGCTGCCCCCCCCAGTTAGATGGAACTAGTTATCGCTGCTGGAGCAACAGATGATGGATTGAGTTAATCACTCATCTATCTATATTTGTTTACAAACATATAACTTGAATACAGGGCTAAAAGATTTGTTTTTTAGTTTCCTTTGGAGTTGTTAAGCTCAAGTGGTTATGTATCATCTCGCTGTTCCTGTTGGCTTCTTGGAGGTGGTAGCTCTAAAACTGAAGAATATTTATAGTGTGTAAGCAAATGACTGATCTAGTTCTAGATCCAGAAGCAATGTGGATTAATCCATAAGGAGCTGTGCCTGAGCAAATTGGTTCAGGGGAGAGGTGGAAATTCTCAGTTTGGGCTCAGCACTACACAGATACAGCTATTGTAATTCTGAGATCTGCATAATTGTCTTTGTGCCATGTTGCACAGATGTGCTGGCCTGCTCAAAGCTTTTTGTGCTTTGCAGGCATAGCATAAGCTCAGAAAGCTGAGGACTTCTTGTGCTTGTTCAAATCCACGTAGACAGAAAAGGTCCCATTTTAAACCACTGCATGTTTTTAGAAAACCAATGGCAGCTAAAAGTTGTGTCTGTGAAATACAAGCTTTTCTGTGATGTTCATCATAACAGCACTATATCTGAGCACCTCAAAAAGATGTTGGTGCTCTCATGTTAAAAAAAATGTTGTTAAAGTTTAAAGCCAAGTTTGTTCCGCAAGTCTGTGGAAGAACAGAGAGGGAGGTTGTTCCTCATGGAGTCCAGTCCCTGCTATCTCATACCACATAGTGCAATGCTTTGCAACTCTTGTGAATTAGTGCCCAGGCATCCTGACCTACATGACAAATTTTTTCTTCCTTCTTCCAGGACTTGTTTTCCCTCATAAGACCTCTAACTTATGAGGGAAATTAGAAATCAGACTTCTATTAGAAAACAAGTCTTGATTGTTTTACAAACTGGCATCATCTGCAGTTTAGACCCCATTCTGGACTGTCTTTCTCAAACTCTGTTATGCAGTTTCTCTTTACACAGTATTAAACTTTTGGTTTTATCTATTGCATATCTAAAGCTTACAATTCAATTTGTTCTTGATAATTGCTGCATCTATTTGTTAATTGGCTCTGACAGATCTTTCTTGCTAATCTGAGAATGATATTGTGGGGATTACCTCCTCAGTCAATTGCTTTGGTCTTGTCCCTCTTTACATCTTCCATTTACACCACTCTCTTTATGTCTTCCACATCTCCTCTTTGCCTTGTTAGACTCAAACTGTGTGCCTTCTTTTATTATATGTGCAAGTCCCTCAACAGAATCTCCTCATCTGCTCTGCCAAGATGTCAGCTTTCCTTTCTTATCTTTAACTTCCTGGATTCTCAAACAAGCATCATTTTGCACACAGGAGGCAGTTTCCATAAAAAGTCAGAGTCAATTAATTGGGATTTTAAACTGGTATTTGTTTATCTATTAAGGAAAATACAGTGAAATACAACAATAAAAATATGTCTCAGGTTGTGATACTTGTTTCAAATCCTGAGGCTCTCTTACTGTCCCATGAACATTTCCACTCACCTGGATCTCTCTTTGTCGCTTGTACTTATATTCATGCAGTTTCTGGAACAGTTTCTATTTTTGCTTTGTCTTTATGCAACATCTATGCAAAGGAGCTCTTTAGCATAAAACAGAGTTATGCATCTGTTATACAGTGAACTTTTATTTACTAATACTTTTGAGGCAGGGCTGAATGCCTTACAATGCATAACAACAGTGTGGTATTTTTATCTTGGGGAACAGATGTTGGGAGTTCTTACCACAAGATCAAAACTTGGTTGTAGTGTCACTGGCAGCTTCTATGATAGCACTTTGTCCAAATGCCTAATTAAGGACTCAACACATATGTTTAATAGAAGTAGAAAAAGTCTTTCATTGAAGATAGAGGACATGCTTGGTTATTGATATCTGCCTTAGGGTTTGCTCATCTTTGGCCAGAAACCAGCTCTGTCACAAGAAATTACCCAATCTGTGAGTTATAAACAAAAATAAAAGGTACTGGCTTTGTATTCTGACTTACTGAGGAGACTAGAAGAAAAGAAAATTTTTTCCTCTATCTAGTCACAAAAATAATTCCCCAGCTGTGTAATTTTATGAGGGAAAAGGAGCATACATTTATTGCTATGTCTCCCCTGAGATACCCATATGAGCTCCCTTTCTTCAGTTTGCAGGGTCTTTTTGTTGTGGCAATAGATATCTCAATTTCCTAAATATAGCCCCATTCCTTGAGGATTTTCTATTCCTTCTAGCAGGTCTAAATGCCTAAAGGAGTTAGGTCTTCCCCTCAGCAAATATGAGCAGCATCTGTTTAATGCTTTGCAGTCAGTTAAGATAATGCCAAAGGACCCATAGCCCTTATTTAAATGCAGACCATTTTGTGCAATCATTAAATAACCTGTCACTAACAGCATGATAGTTCATGTGTCCTCCTTTGTTCCCTCCTGTTAAAAAGTTACACATACATAGTGATGACTCTGCAGGGTTGCTAGCTGCTTTGCTTTTCTCACACCTTCTCTAAATCTGATGGAAATACTGTGATTTTTCCTTATTATCTCCTGATTTGAGCCTGGATAAAGTCTAGGGATGAGAGAATGGAGTCTCTGGGAATGCTTTTTCTTGTCAAGTATTCTGTGTTCATTAGTGGGAGCTAATGTAAGTGTTCTTTTATGAAAGAAGGTCATGATTTCTTAAGTCTGACTTGCATTGGTCTAGTAAATAGTGCTAGTTCCTGTGACTTGCTTCATTTGCTGTTGGGGGAATGTGTTTTAGATGGGGTATTTTTTTTTGTTGTTCTTTAGGGTAGCACAGTCAGCTCTATATTTCTGGGAAATTTAGTCTATATCCTGTAAAATAAGGAGGCACAGCTAGTATATTTTTCATGGATATAAAGGAGGAAGAAAAAATATTGAAGGATCTGAAATTTTTAGGCTGGTATGATCTGTTGGATCAGGATATGTAATTTCTGACCCTGGATACTGTTGATGTGCTATAGATGAGTTTTCCCCCTTTTTGTGCTTTAGAGAAGTTTTCTTGCCAAAGTATTTTTGGGAGTTTACTGTCCGACACTCTAGGAATTTTTCTCTTATTACTTTGTTATTTTTCAGTATTCCTCCTATTTCAGTCTGTTATCAGTTCACCTAGATTTAATTGCACTGTTTTTCTGTCTTTGGAATAAAGTAGTAGAGAAACTACTCAGCAGTTGCTGGTTAGGAGTATTCCTTTTTCCACTGGACATATACCAGTATTTTGAAGAGTGTTTTTAGAAGGTAGGAGAGAGCCATCAATTTAACAAACACAGCTCCTTTGACAGTCTCAGACTGACTCTTAGCTAATTTTTAACATAGTCACTTACAAATAGTGCTTTTCTCCAGAACCAGTCTTGCACCTTCTTCATGATTCAGTACTCTTGGTTATTAATTAAAGTCTTTCCTGTCTCTGTTGTCCATCTGCTATATGAGTGCTGGTGTGGAAGGAAGAGTCAGTTGTCACTGACTCAGGTGAGAGATCCTGAAAGCCACTCTGGAATTACCCACACTTTCATTCAAGAAGTTTCTGAACTTAGTTCAGTTTCAACTAAATATTCTTGAGAGGGAAAATGGGGTGTTTTAGTGTTCCCCCTGCTATACCCCTCTTTGCACTTCCAATGAGTCCTTTTGGGTTCTTGGATGCTGCCAGTAGGAATGGGATGTGAATGCTTCAGGGTTCATTCAAGAAAGTAAAATCAGCTTGCTCTCTTCTAGCCCTTCTGTCATTTCCATTGCCTTCACTTTCTCTTTTCTGCAGTGATCACTGGGAGGCAGATGTCACTGCAGTACACACTTCTGGCTTTTTTACCTGGGTTGTTATTAAAGCTTTGCTGTAGGATCACTTAAAGGCAGAAGATTGAGTCCTTTGGCCTGCCTGTTCAAACACCCTGAAATTGGGAAAGTAACCAGAGTAACTGTTTTCTAGGAAGAATGCAACTGTTACACAAGTAAGTTTGTAAATGCCCCTCTTAACAAGGACAAGTGGTATAAGTAGCATCCACACAAGGAACTGAGATACTTACTCTTAGGGGTATTTAGGAAGACAGCATGAACTTGCTGGTTGTCTTGATGTCTTCTGGGCAAGTCTCTTCACATGGATGTGGTCTCTGCTACTAGAGCTGTGACTTTCGGGTGATAATTGGTAGCTCTGTGGCCAAATTAACATCTACAGGAGCTTGAAGGGTATTTAGGATACAAAACCATGACTTCTTCATTGTTTACTGTTCTCTTTTGGGGTTAGATGATACTATTATGTTAGTGTTATTTTTGCAGCAGTTTTATTCACCTCAAAGTCTTTATTAGTTTTCAGTCCTTGAAAAAGTACTTTTCCAGCAAACAGGCAGTTTAGTGGTCATTGTTTTTTCTGGTTTCAGAAGTTTGATATAACTTAGCTGTTGTGTACAAGGTTAATTTACCTGGTAATAGCAATATTTCAGTCAATATTGCCTCTTGGGTTAGGGAGGAGTCCAGACAAATTGCATTACTCCAATCCCCTTTTTTACCACCACTTCTTAAAATGTTTGAAATAGGATCTCTTTCAAACTTTGTAGGGTAGAGTTGTTAAACAGGATTTAACTCTTCTGTCTTTGCCTCTCTCAGAGTTCTATAATAATAGACATGGGCAGCCTCTGCTCTTCATTGCAGGGACCTCTAAGTCCTGTTGAAACTCATGCAAATATTGAACCTAAATTCCTGTGCCAGTGCTGTGGGAAGGAACAGGATCATTTTGGTCTGAAAAATATATTCGGTTCAGGGACTGAATATATTCATATTCAGTATTGTCCATGGGTATGTACTGTGGCTGATAACAGTTCTCAACAGAACCCATAGGTGGTACTGCAGTGAAGACAAATAAACAGGAAAAAACCCTTCAGGTTCAGGTTGTCCCTCTAATACAAATGCTTTCATCTGCTTGAGTCAAACCTGCATCCACATGGGGAATAAAATCAAAGGATGGGAATCTAACCTTAGATCCCTGTAGCGTGTCTGTCCCCTGCTTTATTTTGTCCTCCCTGCATCTGGTGTCAGGTCCTTCAGTTTGAGCTTGAGGCTCTGTAGTACTCCAGACCTGAAAATACTGATGTCCACTGTCAGCTTGGCTGAAGGCTAGGAGATCACTGAACAGTTGTGATTAATGTATTTAAGTGTTTGCTGGATCAGTGATTAATATGTGATAAGTGATTCATAACTTACTTTTGAATACCAGATTGGAACTACTGGTATGATATACACAATCCTATAAACTAATCTGTTGACACAGCCCTTTGCAGAAACTTTCTCAGGCTACTGTAAAACATTTACTTAGTAAAAAGCAACTCTTTGGCCAGTAGAATTAATGAAGTCTAATTTCTGGGGTGTCTTCTTCCTATTATCCAGTGGTTGTCCACATTTTCTGTCTTTTGAGTAAGAAGCAGTATGTGTGCTGTTATGGACCAGCCAGCATGCTTACTGGCTAGCATGTATGGGCATGACTGCTCAGCTTGTGTCTTGGGGGTGGCAGGGGATGGACATGAGACATGCTTTTTCCTCAGTAAGGTTATTGTAGTCTTTGTTTTCTACTCTGTTGTCCATTTTCATCAAACTTCTAGGAAATTTCTTTTTAGAAGCACTTACTTCTGTATCAAATTGGTGTAATTAGATTAGGGATTTTAAGTTACGTATGGAAGACTTGAGTAATGGCATGAATTATATTTTCCATGGAAAGTCATGCAGAAGAAGAGGTATAAGAGGCAATCTAAGATAGAAAACTAGAGATGCTTGGACTTAAAAGTCAGCTTTGATTCTTCTTGACCACCTGCTTATGATCAAAATCTCTACATTTTGAAGCAAAGTTTTCAAGATCTGGTCTGTGTTGAGCTGGGCAGATCTGATAGGTCTATTCTGTTTCCAGGTTTAGTAATTGATATGATACTCTGTCCTTAAGATCAATTACCTAATATTGGCTCAGTTTTGTTTTAGAAGTTTAGGACTGCTTAAATGTTTGCAGATCTTCTTTTAGCTTGCTTTGTCGTTTCTCCTTTTGATTTAAGGTATTTAAATTCTTGTCAGCATTATCTTTTAAAAATATTTTCTGAACTGTGAGCAGCACTACTTGTATTGCCAGTGTTAAGTAATGTTTTAAGGTGAATACTTTTTTTTCCACTTGATTGTTTTGATCGCTTGTACTGATTTGTCTCAGATGTTTGTAATTTTATGCTGGTATACAGTTGCATGTACTGTTACAAATCTTGTAGCCTACATTTCCATTCATTGAGAAAGGTGTTAAATTTATATAATTCTTATTGACTTAGTGGTTGTGTGTCAAAAGATTCTGTCGTGTGCTGGTTGTCTAATCATAGACTCACTTAAGTTGGAAAAGAGCTTTGAGATCATCAAGTGTAACCATTAGCTCAGCGCTGCCAAGTCAACCACTAAACTGTCCCTCAGCACCACATCTAAACATCTTTTAAATACCTTCAGGGATGGTAACTGCACCACTTCCCTGGGCTGCCTGTTTCCATGCCTGATAACTCTTGACTCAAAAATTTAGTTATTTATATGATGATTTCTTTCTTGATTGCAGAACATATATTTTTGTTATTAAAAATACTCTTTTTAAACCAGACCAAGCAATGAGTAAAACTTCAAAACACAACAATGCATGAACATAAATCAAAATCATAGTGTAAGACTAGTAAATGAAGGTGCTCTGATGAATACTACGCCAAACATTCTTGATTTTTGTTTTGAGCTACTGTGTATTGTGGCATAGCTCTGGCATTGTGCACCACTTCCATGAATATTAGCAAGCCCTAAAGTGTTCACCACGAGTCTTAAAAAGAGAAAACTGTGGTAAAAATGTCTGATTCTTTTAATGTGTTTGTTTTACTGGAGGCAGATTTAAAGTTCTATGAGTACAGGTCATTGGAAACTCTGTTCTATTTTATAGATTTTTGTTCCTAGGCTTTTTAACACTTTTTTGTTTTAATAACATTGTTATCAAGAAATTCATAGGCAGGAATGTAATTTTAGCAGTTCTTACTTCTTAAGAAGAGTTCTCTTGTTTGGCAGTTCTTGTTTTATTTTAGCAGTTACATTTCTAAACAATTCTACTTTCCTAAGGGCTCAGATTTAGAAAACTTGTTATATTAGGTACAATGGATTTCTAAGTATAGGTGATAAAGAGCACAGTTCTAAATGTGCTCCATTGCAGCATGCTATGAGTTTTTGTGCTCTCTTTATAGAGGACTTTAGCTGTCAAGTTCTCTGTTTTGTCCCATTTAAGACCTTCACCTCCATTTCAGGTGAACTTGGGTGAAGGGACTGCATGGGGAGCTGGATGACAGCTGCCAAAAGCAATGTAGTTAAAACTATAAAAGAAAGCTAACCAGGACTCTAACATGTGATTCTGTAAAAGCTGTTCTTTTTAGAAGAGCATCTCTTAAGGGCTATAACAAAAATGTAAATGAGTTTCTGATACTAGAAATGGCAAAATCAAGAAGGGGCTGAAGAGATATTACTCCTGTCTTGGTTTAGACATACAGTTTTCATCCTTAATTTTCTTTGGTGTGCAGTGTAAGGAAGGTTTCATATTTACCCTCTGCTGTGAATCTCAGAGATCTGGAGCTCTTGGGCAACATGGAAGTGGATACAGTTTTGGAAACATGAGCCCTTTGCACATACAACAGAAGGTGGTACCATACCAATTTGTTTTAGAGTTGAGAAGCAAAACGAAGTGGAGATTAGTACTTTGACACTATACCCACTCTGACTTCAGGTGTCTTAAAGGAACTTGCTGAAGGGAAGTAAATTGGACTACTGATATGGGTGTTGTTGTGGATGGTTCTTTGAGAGTATCATTCCTGTATTCAGCGTTGGTTAAAGTCAACTATTGCACAAGAGCAAGGAGCACCAGTGACGTGCAAGTGTATTCAACTTCAAAGGGAAAGGCTTCTTTTGGGTCATTTTGTTTTGGTTTTATTCCTTCTCCTCCCACATGGAATATATTGTAAGGATGTTACAGGATCCAAAATTATGACTAGGTTCTAAAAGGGAGGATAGATCTGCTTCCCTACCAAACATGAGCATCTAAATGCAACCACTGCTCAAGAAGTTCTTGGTTACCTGGCTTCTGAGCACTGGTAGAGTGTGCTAGGAAACATTTACTCATTTCATGTCTTAAATTCTGCCTCATTCATTACCAAGTCCTTTGAGAAATAAACTGGACTAGCTAGACTTTGGTGCATTCTTGTGCTCCTGGGTAACTTGTTTGTTCAAATCACTCCCAAGTTCTGTCCTGAAAGGAGGTCTGCAAAGGGCCTAGAAGGGGATAAGTTAGAGGGAATAACTTTGGGTATGTGATTTGATATTCAGTGTAACTTTGAGTTCACTCCTGTCTCTTGATGGTGGGAATATATCTCAGAGTTACCCTTATTCCTGTTGTCCCTACTGTCCTTTGTGTCTCCTGACATTACCAACTCAGCCCATTCAACAAACTCTCCCAAACTGCTGCCAAAGTAATAACTAGTGCTGGCTAAAAGATCTTAGCCATTAGCTAACCTGCCATTACTTAAGAAGCTGTTTGAAAACTGATATTTTTTTGTGTTGTCCAGGGAGCACATAACTATTGAGTCTGGCAAAAAGAACCTGTCACCTTGATGAGAAATTTGGGAGGTGGGAGTTAAAACCAAAACATTTTTGAAGAAGACATTATCATATTCCTTTTTGCTTACATACACATAACATCTTTATATTGTCCAATATGTTAATGTTTTTAGGAGCTATTCCATAAACCAAGAACTTCCTTTCTTCCACAGAGACATCTTAATAGATACTAAGGAAAACTGCATCTATCATCTAAGCTACCTTCCTGATGATAAGCTAATAATCACAGCTACCAAGGAAGCAGACTCTTTCTTGTGCACCTGTAGTTTCAGTATATCTTGATGTTCCCCCACAGACACCAGGAAAGATTCTCTTGAGAGCATTTTGATGTCTCGTTTCCTGTTTTCTTCTACACTGTGAGGCTGCCTTGAATAGTTTGAGTCTGTGAGAAGCTACCACAAGCCCACAGCCCACAGATTTTCTTTGTGAACACTGTTTCCAACCACAATCTGGCACACTGGCTATTTTTTATGTTTTTGGTGTGCTGGCTGATTTTTATTATCCTTCAAAGTCTAGGTGCTGTTGATAGCTTTGATGAAAGCAAATGGGGCTGGCTAAGCCTTAAACAAATTTGCTGATTTACGAATAAACTTGTTCAAAGAAACCATTTAGTACTTCATTACCTCTCTGGTTCATAGATTGTGAGATCTTCCAACTGTACTCACAGGATGAAAATAGCTAATAGCTTCCAGAAATTAAGTGGCAGGTGAGAGGGGATGGAAGCCCTGCTCGTTTCAGTTGGTGGGGAGTTCTTGAAGAGGGAATTGAGATGAAGAAAGTGAACTTAATCTTTCTTAAAAAGTGCTTTTTGTCATATTCTTCCCTGTCATATAATATATGGATAAAATCTGTTGGAAGACAAAACAGTAAGGGCTAAACAAATGAATGAAGCATGAAACCAATGAAGGCCAAGGATCTATTCTGCAACAAGATCAGGGCAGGCTCTTGTACAGAGCCCTAGCCCATTTCACTGCTTGTTTATCTGCTCCTGTTGCTCCAGTATCTGAACAGAAAATGCCCTGTTTTTTAGCCTAGACAGTACAATGCTTGACACTTAAACTATGTAAAGTCAAAGAGAAGTTACCTGCACTTCTTTTTGGTTTTGTATATGTGTTTTTTTGTTTTATTTTTTAATTTAGTACAATACAGTAAATTATGAAAGGGAACATTAAGGTAGTTGTGGCACTTCTGTGAGAGCCAGTTTGAGCACCTGACTCTAGTGCACAGCTTTGCTGCTGCTTCTCTGCTCCCACTTTCCAGCAGAAAGATTGACGAGCTGGAGAGCAGTGGGAATAGGACAGTCTGTGTCTGAGAGCCCCTGGCTGTGGATAGATACAGCACAAGTGCATGGCAGATACTCTTGTACCTAAACAGGTGCTCAACCTCTGTGGATGAGGCAAGTTAAAGTGGTAAAAGCAATCCCCTCTTTCACGCCTGCACTTGCATGCTTGCCAAGACACCAGTGCTACTGAGAAAGTCTGCCATGCTCCAGGTAGCTGTTCTGACAAACTTGGAAGTAGTGTTATGCTCCCTTGTCTGCAAGGGCTGTCTCAGAGAATGGGGTGAGGTACTAGAGAGTTGACTACATACATAATCACAGTGAGGCATGAATTCCAAAACAGCATGGAACAGCATAAATCACATCAATGTGTACATTTTACAAAACTGCGTTCTAGTATTTTGTTTTGTACTTCTTGGTGCTTCAGAAACTTAGGATGAAATCTGAAGAGGATGTAATCACTTCTTAATCTTATGAATCCTGACACCAGCTGTGTTTTCAGTGTTGTCTACTCCAATTGCATAGTTATAATATTTTTCTCTTTTTGGTTTGGAAGGTAAGAAATGAGGAAGACTTTATTAAGAAACTGGACTGCAGTCCTGACCAGCACCTGAAGGTAGTGTCCATCTTTGGGAACACAGGGGATGGGAAGTCTCACACCCTTAACCATACTTTCTTCTATGGCCGGGAAGTCTTCAAGACATCTCCTGCCCAGGAGTCTTGCACAGTTGGAGTCTGGGCAGCCTATGACCCTGTCCGCAAAGTGGTGGTCATTGATACAGAGGGCCTCCTGGGGGCTACTGTTAACCTGAGCCAGAGAACACGGCTGCTGCTGAAGGTCCTGGCCATCTCTGACCTTGTCATCTACCGCACTCGTGCTGACAGGCTCCACAACGACCTCTTCAAATTCCTTGGTGATGCCTCGGAGGCTTATTTAAAACACTTCACCAAGGAGCTAAAAGCTACCACAGCCCGCTGTGGCCTGGATGTTCCTCTGTCAACTTTGGGTCCAGGTGTCATCATCTTTCATGAGACTGTGTACACCAAGCTACTGGGCTCTGGTGAGTAGGCAATTCCAATTACAACGTGCTAAACACTGTCTGTAAACTATCAGGTTGCATTGCATATTCAGTACTCTTTACTACCATGTAAAAATGTGATTTGGGTTTTGCTCTCACTGGTTTCAGTCTGGGAACCAGGCTGTGGAACTAGAAGAGCATCCCCTCTTCCAAATCAGCTAGAATAATCCTCTTAGCCAAGTGAACATCGGCACTGAATAGTAACAAATTCTGCTAGCCATAGGAGGGGGTCATCATACAAATTCATGAGTATGGGTGATACAACAGATGAAGGGGAAAACTGATGTGGTGAGTTGACCCTAGCTGGATGCTGGGCACCCACCAAAGCTGCTCTATCACTCCCCTTCACAAGTGGACAGGAGAGAGAAAATATAATGAAAAGTTCATCAGCTGAGATAAGGTCTGGGAGATATAACTCATCAAATACAATAATGGGGAAAACTGACTTGACTTGGGGATATTAATTGAATTTATTACTGACAAAATCAGAGCAGGGTAATGAGAAGTAAAATAAATCTTAAAACCAGGTTTCCTTCATCCCTCCCTCCTTCCCAGCCCGACCTCCTCCTCTGCCAGCCATGCAGGAAGACAGGGAATGGAGTTACGGCCAGTTCATCACACATTGCTCCTGCTGCTGCTCAGGGAGAAGAGTCCTTCCCCTGCTCCAGTGTGGGATCCTTCCCATGGGAGATAGTTCTCCATGAACTTCTCAGACATGAGTCTATCCCACCGGCAATAGTGGCTGAGTCCCACTGTTTGTGAACATCTAGGAGCTGTGTCTTGTGTAATAAATACCTCAGCAGTCCTGGCTGACCCACATTCTCTTTTTGCCTTTTCTAAACAGTGAGGTTTTAAACTAGTAGAAGAACTTGACGTTCTTTCTGGTTATTATTGGAGTAACTCCTAAACAACTTTTAACTTACCTATAAGGCAGATCTTTCCTTATATACCAATTTGCGGATTAGCAATTCAGCCTTTCATGAAGTTGTTGACATTTGCTGTTTCATCAGTTCAGCCTTTAGTGACCCATGAGGACACTTTGCACCTGCATGCAAAGTGGTCACAAAATAAATATTTTCATGGTTACTTCTGATCAGAGTAGGAATAGGAAAGAAACCTCTTAGCATATATGGATGTGCAGAAAGCTGTAACCATCTGTCTTAATGGATAATTGAAGTAAGTGTGTTTATGTAGTTTTAGGACAGGGAAGATGGGGCCTGCCTTATTCTGAAATATACAGCAGGTACTTGGAAGCAGGCAGGAGAATGTGGCTGGCTCTGTGGAGTCTGAACTGATGTGGCCAGTTCTGAAGTGCTTTGCCATGTACAAATTGTTGATAAAGGCTTGGTCTCCCTTGCTACAGAGTTGGCATGGAGCACAGACAGCCCATGTAAGGTTCATGTCCTCCACTTATCAGGTGCTAGGAATAGCTATACCAAGTTATGGCCTGGTGAGCAGAACTAAAAAATGTGCTGACATTGTGTTTCCCTGTATTATGTCCTAACTTGCTCCTTAATCTGGATATCTGTGTTTCAAAATCTAGATGTGTCTGGTTTTACCTTAGAAACTTGGTCTTAGAAAAGACAGCTTTAAAGCAGTGTATCACAAAACAGAGACTGCTTTTGGGAAGTCTTCCTTGTTTTAAAATGTAATGATAACTGCATTCCAGATGTATTAGAAGATTTAATTAAGAAAACTAGGTCTATATTGCATATGAAAATACTATGCAATTGAAGTATTGTTTTAAACAATCAGTTGCAAATGAACTTGCTGATACTCTCATATATAGATCATCCTTCTGAGGTTCCTGAGAAGCTCATTCAGGATCGGTTTCGGAAGCTAAGCTGTTTTCCTGAGGCTTTCAGCTCAATTCACTACAAGGGAACAAGGACATACAATCCTCCAACAGATTTCTCTGGGCTTAGGCGAGCTGTGGAGCAGCAGCTGGAGAACAATACTACTCGGTCACCCAGACAGCCCGGGGTTATCTACAAAGCACTAAAAGTAAGTGAAGAGGAGTTTGTCACAGTGTTTATTTGTACCACTGTTGCTATTAACTTAGCTGTGGCTCATAAAGGCAGACCACCTGAAACAGTGATGCAGACTTGCATGCAAATCTTCCATGAGAATGATAATTTTGTCTAACAGCCAGGGAGGCTGAATAGTTTTGGTTTTTTTGCTTCAAAACAAATATTTCAATAAAGGCCATGGGAGAAAAATTAAAGAGCCAAACTGAGCAAGATCCTAAACCAGAGCTGGGAAGAAAAAAATAACTGATGCTGTGAGTGACAAGCACTTAATGGCAGTGATTGACAGAGAGAGATCTTAGAAGGTTTTTTTTTTATAAAATTCCTAAAGTTGGCCTCAGCACAAAAGGAGGAAATGCAAGAGACTTGGAGAGAGTTAATAGTTGGCAAAACCTAGCACTGACTAGTATAACCCAAGGGCTAGGAGGCAAAAAGAAGGAGGAAGGAGTTGTGCTGGTAGCTAGGGAACAGGATGGGTCAAGCCAAACGATGTATTACTTTAGAGCAAGTAGATGCTTCCCTTTGCTAGAATGTCACAGGGATTTTTGTGTCTTTAAATTTGCAGTCTTTCGTACAAGTTTCCACATACCACTGCCTGATTAACATTGTATTTTCTTTGGCCTGAAGAGCATAGCTGTCACTGGGGAGGGGCAGGCAGAGCTGGGGCATATCTGCAGAAGGAGGTAGTGTTAGCAGTCTTTTCTGGTGTTTGTCACAGCTGTTGGAACAGATAATTCTGGCTGCTCTGCGCCAGTGGTAGCTGAAGCACAGAGGGAAGTGTCAGGGTGGCATGAACTCAGTTCTTTGCATTTGGGAGCAGACAGGCAGCAGGGGAAAAACCAATTGGAATCATTAATTTTAGTTTAGCTTCTAGGATGTTATTGCAATAATCAAGTAGCCTGGTTTCACATATAGCTGCTGGTGTACTTAAAATCATGACCAGTAAAGTGTTCAAATCACTACCAACTACAAATTAACTTCTTTTGCTTCACTTGCTGAGGACACAAGACTTGCTAGATTTCTGTCCGCTTCCTCTAACTTTTCCTCTAAATTTTGAGTTCATTCAAAAGTAACAGTATCAGTCAAGCTTAAAAGAGAATGCAAATAAATGTCCTTGGAATTATGTGAAATAAAACGTTTAAATAGAGAACTTATCTGAGGGAAGCTGTGGTGAGAGAGGTACACACAAGTCTGTGTGTTTATGCAATCAACCCTTGTTAGACAGCAAAGATGCACCCACTCCACCTACCCCAGCTCTGTGAGGGGAGGGGAGGAAGTGAAAGGCAGGCAGCCACTATATAAACCTCAGCTGTAGGAAGAGTTTCAGCTAGATCTCATGCCTTCAGAGATCTCCATCAAGAAAAACTGTAACCATTTGCTTTGTTCCGGTGTTTGGTTTTTTTTTTTTTCCTAAACATAACACCTAAAAGAACTGAAAAAGTTAAGTGTGCCAAGACTAAGGACTGATTTAATCCGAGAATGGATATTCCTAGGAAAGGGTACAAATGCCTTTGAATTTTGCCATTTTGCCAGAGAAGAACAATTGTTCAAGTGGCCAGAGGAAAGCTCAGGGCAGCACTTTCTGAGCCAAAAGGCAAAAAATGTGTTCTCATGAACTATGAGAAATGATCCTATGAGTTTATTTTCAGAGATTTCCAGAATGCAAAGCCCATTTAGCAAGAACCCTGCTATTTTGAGCATGGATTTGATGCACAGAGGTGGATGCAATTTTCTACCACCCATTTCTACTACAAAATTCAAACTAGGGATGGGAGGAGAGGAGAGCAGAGCAAAGAAAAAGAGCATCTTACAAGTATTCAAGTCACTTCCATACAAGCGCAAGATTGCCTTCTTGGGTCATTTCCAATCCTTGTTTTGTTTTCCAGGCTACTAAGACACATTTGTTAGCTGTGTACACTCTCTGCCTCCCCTCCAGTAGAGGAATCCATGCTTTTTCTTGCAAAATGTCTTCATTGCCCTTAATCCCTTTCCAGTTCATTCTTTTTTGTTTGACAGGCTCTAAGTGACCGGTTCAGTGGGGAAATCCCTGATGACCAGATGGCTCACAGCTCTTTCTTTCCGGATGAATATTTCACATGCTCCTCTGTGTGCCTCAGCTGTGGGTAAGTAGATGAGAAATGCTTTCCATCTTCTTAGAGGATAGTGCTGCCCCCACCTGCAGCCACAGAATGTAAAGTTTCTGTGATGTCTTGGCACCTGACATCATCTATCCTCAGCTAGAACTTCCATGCAAAATTAGCTTGAAATTCAACTCCTGTATGAACTGGACAACCACTATTGCCACATCCCAGCTGGATGCATGGTTTTGGCCCACTGTTTTTGTGCATGACTACAAACCTGTGCTACCCATATCTTTTCCCAAATGCAAGCAGGAAGAAAGGAAGAAAGGAGTATCTAAATAAATCCCCTGAAATTTCTTATGTTTTTTTCCTGACATTTTTACTGCCTAAACAGTATTAACAATCCTAAAGCATACACCATGGAGTGGGGCTGTATTCAGAGACTAGGTCTAAGTGGAACTCCATATTTCATTAGATCTTGGCTTGTAGCTCTCTGGAAAGAGCCCCAAGATTGAGCCTGGAAGGGCAGTAGATGGCAGTCAGTGCTCTGAGTCTCGGAGCTGTATAGCAGCACAATGTTGTGGCTGGTTATGCTTCTTTTCTGATGCTGAGCATTTTCTGCAGTGAATTGTTGTGTGGTGCTGCTTTGTATGGGAAAGAGTTGCTACAACTCCTTCTGAAGAGCCTGCCTTTCAATAATAAATTATGTCATTGCTGTATGTACAGTTGTGAAAATGGTTTGAGGGTACAACATCTATAAAAATGTAAGATAGCAGTAAAAATGACATCTTGGTGACATCTGTCCTGTGTCTAAGATCAACAACTCATGGGTTGCTCTTGCATACTCAGGTGTGGCTGTAAGAAGAGCATGAACCACACAAAGGAAGGAGTCCCTCATGAATCCAAAAGTCGATGCAGATATTCTCACCAGTATGATAACAGAGTCTACACTTGTAAGGTGAGATACAAGGACAAGGTCTGAAGAATGAAAAAGGAAAGGATGACCAAGTAAATGAGGACTATCACAGGCATGTGCCTGTTTTCTTCCTTTTTTTTATTTTTAATGTCAGAGGTGCTCATAGACTTGACAAGAAAAATTGATCCTTATTTGACTTGCATGTTTGCTTGGCGAGTTCATTACATCTGTGTGCTGTCATTTTCTAGCTAAATTTTGAAGCTGGCTGCTCTTAACCTGGGTGATGTTGACCTTTTATATATTTGACATAGTTACTCTTATTTGCTTATACCCAGTGCCTGGTATTAGCCAATTTTTCTGAAGGATCTGTGCAGGAGACAGGAAAATTTTTTGATACCATCATGGTCTTTGTTGATATAGAAATACTTCCCTGATGTGATTATTGATAGTGGGTTTGGTTTTGCTTTGTTTTTAAATGAGTTCTGATGAGTGCTCCTTTGCTGTGGACCTCTGTATGCTAATTTTATACTTCACATAGCCAAGCAGCAGCCAGATGTAGATTTAGATTTCCAATAATATAGTTTTAATTGATCCTTTATGTTGTAGGCCTGTTACGAACGAGGGATGGAGGTCAGCGTGGTGCCAAAAACCTCTGCTTCCACGGATTCCCCTTGGCTGGGCCTTGCCAAGTATGCCTGGTCAGGGTGAGTACTGCAGATGGGATCTCTCTGCTCTCTGTGGTCTCTGTGCTGCCTGCTGCATGGGACTTGCCAGAGAGGTGACCTGTCCTCCTCCTGTGCAGGTACGTGATCGAGTGCCCCAACTGTGGGGTGGTGTATCGCAGCCGGCAGTACTGGTTTGGCAACCAAGACCCTGTGAACACTGTAGTGAGGACAGAAATTGAGCATGTCTGGCCAGGGGTAAGTTTGGTTGCTGGATAGTTTTTGTGTATGTGTGCAGCCATGCACATGCTAATTTGATTCTTTTGGATGTTGATGGAGAAAATAAGAAAATAGATTGCCTTTCATTAAGCTGGTCCCTACTGTTCAAAAGAGACTTTACAAGGGCTTTCAAGCATCTTTTGACTATCTTGAAATGACTAAGTTGCCAGCCTACTTCTGTCTTCAAAGCAAGGCTGGTGAATCTTTTACTCGAGCTTGCCTTCCAGTTTATCAGGAATAATGGGTTGCACAGCCATCTGAATCTAAAAAAAAAAAAGTTTCCCTGTTTTTATTCTCAAATAATCTGTTTCATTCCAGACTGATGGATTTCTGAAAGACAACAACAATGCAGCCCAGCGTTTGTTGGATGGCATGAATTTCATGGCTCAATCAGTATCTGAACTTAGCCTGGGACCCACAAAAGCTGTGACCTCCTGGTTGACAGATCAGATTGCCCCAGCTTACTGGAGACCCAACTCTCAGATTCTGGTAAATAGCAGCTGTTGGAGAGAAAGGCTTTGCCTAGCTAAAACCCCTTTTCCTTACTCTTTAAGTAATAAAGTACTTTGCAGATTCTAAATGCTTCTTTCTTTTACTGCAGCAATCCCTACTCCTACAACTTTGAGAAAACTGAAGTGCTGTCTCCTCTTCCTATTCTTGACTTAGCCAGAGAAATTATGAACAGAGACTTGGCCCAGCCCTGATAAAGAGACTGTTTCTGCTTGCTCTTTGTGAGCTATTATCCTAGCAATATTACAGAAAATCTTGGCTTGCATGAACTTGTTTTTCAAAGCAAATAATCAACACCATGAATCTGGCCACTGCAGTTGATTGTACTATTTTTATAGATTAAATTCTGGTTTCATACCAGATGCAAAAAGCTGACCCAAACAGTTCAACTAGGAAAGGATTCCCTGTATCTTGCTGGAAACAGATTCTTCTTCATTGAAAACTGCCTTCTGAATTCTTACTCCACACAAAGGTCAAATATCCATCATTCAGCCCTGCATGATATGGCTGTGTTTATTTGTGATTGTGACTGAAGGAATCATAGCAATATATTGGCTTAACCAATGTATACCTACTGTTCTAAATCACTTCTCTAGGGTAAAGTTATGGGGCTGATAGCACCCAAGTCTTGTGTGTAACTGTATTTTTCACAATTTCAGTCTGAAACTTGCCATCCTGGGCCTCTGCTCTCTATTTTTCACTTTAGGACAATCAAATTAACAGTTCTTCCTTCTGTGTTGTTCTGATTAGAGTTGTAAGAAGTGCAACACACCTTTCAAAGATAACGACACAAAGCATCACTGCCGGGCCTGTGGAGAGGGCTTTTGTGATGGCTGTTCTTCCAAGACCCGTCCAGTGCCTGAGCGGGGCTGGGGACCAGCACCAGTGCGCGTGTGTGACAACTGCTATGACAACAGGGGCATCCAGTTAGGTAATCTTGAGTTGATTGTGACAGAGCTATCCCTGGGCACTAGCCTGAAGTCTTTGTCCCTAATTTCTGGATCACAACCATTTTCTGTGGATGTAGACAGTGTTGTTCACACTGGCTTTCCAAACAGTGTTTGATAAGGAAACTGAAGATCTCAATATGTTTTGGAAGGAAGATGACCCTACCAGACACCTGAACTGCTGACAAAATTATTTTCTAATTGTATCTTTACATTTATTTTCCTAGCAATTGCTAATGGTCTGGTGCTAGCATTAGAGCAGGGTGCTTATGTTACAGCAGACTGTATATTTTGTTCATTATTGCTAAAATGAACACTCTGCAATCCAAGATTGTGGGTGGGGAACATAAAGGCTGAGGAGAGATTCCAGTTCTGCCTTTTGGTTTTGCTGCTGGATTTGTTAATGTAAATTAACTGAAACTTGGCCGAAAGGGTGGTGGACTTGGGTGTTGAGCCCTTCACTCTTGTGTTATGCAGATGTGGCTGAACTGCCCTCAGATGAGGAAGGAGGGACACTTATTGCCAGGAAGGTGGGGGAAGCTGTGCAAAACACGCTTGGAGCAGTGGTGACAGCCATGGACATTCCCTTAGGTGAGTTCTATTCTATTCTGATGGGGGGTTTTTTGTCTAAAGGCGTTTCTGTTTTCAAAGAACAAAACTTGCTATTAAACTTCAAGAGTTTTTGTGACAGGCTGGCACCTCTGCTATGATACCACTGTTGGTTGAGATTTTTACAGCCCTCTGGACCTCTTCTGCTTGATGTTTCCTCTTGGTTTACAGCATGTTGTTTCTGCAGATCACACTTTCTCTTTTCACCCTATTATGCAAAACTGTGCACCAAGCTGTGAGTAACTCATGCTTCCCTGATGGATTCACTGCAGTGACCTGCCATTTGAAGTTCCCTAAAGATTGGCCCATTAGGAAGCATTTTATCAGGTTTGGTTTTTTTTCAAAGATACTGAGTGCCTTTTAAGTGTGTTCATGCATACTGCTGGTACTTGGTACTTCTGAGGGTATGGCTGAGAATTTGAAGCTGTCCAGGTTGGTAATAATGAGGAAGTAATTAGTAGTCTGATATTTCATAACGAGTTTAGTGCAGGGAACCTCTGCTGCTCCTTCATGTGCTGGGTGGCAGTTTAGGTATGTCAGCAAACATTTCACATTTGAATCTTCTGCTGTTGTATCTGACTTCCTATTCATTACACAGATCATTGTTCAGCTGCTTTGCCTACAGCATGTCTGGCCTTCACCTTTGTGGTTGTTTGCTCTCTGACTCAATGAAGGGCAAATAAATCCCTTTCTCAGGTCAGACAGTAAATGCATTTCTGAATATTTGGTTTGGCGACTCTGTGTTTTTTTTGGCCATAGCTGAAACTGAAGGTATGGAAAAGCAAGTGTCTTAACCTCTGGAAGAGTCTGAGTAAGGCAAGGTGCCACTATTAAAAGAGGCAGTTTACTCTTTGAAGAGAGGGAGAATGTGTGAGATTTGTAGAATGCCCTAAATAGCTACTCATTGCACTGAAGGATTCTGTCAGTAGGTCACGTCCCCCTTTATGGCAGTGGTATGACTTGCAGTGTGTGAGTGCCTCCACTGGAGTACATTCTTGATACGCTCATGTTCATGGATTATTTTGTTCTCCCTCTTTCTCATCCCCCCACCTCACTTCCTCCCTAGGTCTGGTAAAAGATGCTGCCCGACCTGCATACTGGGTACCAGATCATGAAATCCTGCACTGCCACAATTGCCGGAAGGAATTCAGTATCAAACTCTCCAAACACCACTGCCGGGCCTGTGGCCAGGGATTCTGTGACGAGTGCTCACACGACCGCAGAGCGGTTCCCTCTCGCGGATGGGATCACCCAGTCCGAGTTTGCTTTAACTGCAATAAAAAGCCTGGTGACCTTTAACCCCAGGCTGCTCTCCAGATCTTTGCAATTCCTTATGTTCTCAGGGTTACAAATGAAAATATCTGGTCTCCCTTTCACCTTCTAACCTGTTGCAGCCAGAGTGCATGTTTCCAGTTTCTGGCCTCCTCTTGTGTTATATCCATCTTGGAACGCTAGGAATGAGCTTATATTCAGCCTCTAGGTTTTAATTTCAAATTAACTGGAAAAGGGAGGGAGCTCCCTTGTAAATGAGCAACCCAAAATCCACTGTATTCCAATTGAAACATATATATATATCTCAACTATGTATAATTTAGTATATTAAGTATATGGTTGAAAATGAAGCTTTGAGTATTCCTAGTTCAAATGATGGATGGTGGTGTTCCTTACTGTATTGGATCAGAATTATGGCCTTCTAATTCTTCTTTTGGAATGTCTTGCTGATCGTGATGTCTTGTGAGGAAGGTTTGGACTCTGTGCTGCCAGGAATCTCCAGTGTTGATGTATGAACTATACCTGGTAGTTCAACCAACTCTGCATCTAGAGGTGCTGCCCTTCTGGCCATGGAAGATTGGTTTAGATTTATTAACAAGTTTGTTTGAACTGCGATATGAGCAATGGTCTTGCAGTGCAAGAGGTATCAAGTTAACACAGACTCCCTGGCAGAGACCGGTAGATCTCTGAAAGGTAAAGCAAATCCTGTGGCAGGAGGCAAAGGATTCTGATCTTGCCATTTCAACTTCATTACCAGATCAAAAGGTAGCAGGGTTTTTCTCTCCCTGACAATGTTTTTTCATGTACTCAGGTTTTCTTCAAGTTTCTCTGCAAGATCATTGCAGTTAGAAGTTTTGTCTAGAGCAGAAGAAGAGAACAAGTTTTGTAGGCAATTCTGAGATACAAAGTTTGAGTTGTTTGGGCTGTGATGACTTTCCTTTTCCCCCACTTTTCAAGAGATTCTATAGTCTCTGAAGCCTCTGTGTCCTGAAATATGGTTGCATAGAAACTGCACAGATTTGACTTACTTTCTTCTAATAGTATGAACTTACAAATCAGCCTGGAAAATGGGAACCTTTCTTCTTTGCTCCTAGCAACTGGCACTCACTGGACTTCATCCTTTTTTGGAAGGACTGCAATGAATTCACAGATTTTATTATGAAAAGCACCACTTAACCTAACTTACACTGTCATGTACTGTGGATTTGTGGTTCCACTTATAAGAAGTATGAAACTATTGTGGATTAAACTGCCTATAATTCTCCCTTCTTGGCTTACATAGACAAAAATTCTTTGACTACATGGGAGTTGCCTCCTCTTGGAGTGGCTGGAGTTTAATGCAGTGTCCTGCAACTGTGATATTTTTCCCCCAGCTTATTAAATGTGCTCTTGTGTGATGAGATGCCCAACGCCCTGTTTTAAGACTGTATTATTAAATTAACTCCTATAAAGAACTTTATCTTCTGAACACGTGTACTGACTTTCCTTGTAACAAGCGGTTCTCACTTTGTCTCTGAAAGACCATGCTCACAAAGTGTTTGTCCCTTCACAGCTACATCCAGCCTACACAAGGAAGTAGACTTAGAAGATGTTCCAGGACACCTTCGGTACTGGCCAAGTTTACTGCGGACTGTCTTATGTTTTTGTAAGCAAAAGTCTGCCATAAACTGACTGTTGTCCAAGTAAGGGCATGAGTAGGTAGAAATCCTCTCTTAAAAGACATTCTGTACATCTAGCATAATTCTATGCTTCAAAGTGTTCTTTATTTTTTTAATGGGTGAGCAATGTGTTCTTGGTTTGTAGGCTGTGCCCTATGTGCTGTTTATGCATGTAGCTTTACTACCATGTTAATGCACAAAGAGAAAGCAGCCATGACATTCCTTGTATAAAATCTTTGGCATCTGTTTCAACAACTTGTCTGACTTTTTTTCCTTGTCAATGCAAGAACTACTACTCAATCAAAAGGAAAATGTTGTCTGAACATTTTTAATATATATATGGTCTTAGTAACTTAGCAACCTGTGAGTATAAGACTCCATCTTCTTGATAGATTATCCTGGACCTGAATCTTCTATGATGTTTCTCTACAAAGCAAAGTCTTATGTGGTGCTTGAACTGCAGCAGACTTGGTGTAACTCTTTCTGGAAAATGCTGAGAAGTGCATTTGGGATCTTTGTTTTCCAAAATGAAAAAAAAAAAAAAAAAGACCTAAGGTTTAAGTTTCCTGCTGTTTCCTGTACAGCGTAGAGCTTTTTTTTTCTGGTACTATTTGGTGCTGTGAGTACACAGTATAGAATATGATTATTAAATGGCTTAGCTATTGAAAGGGGATAGATGTTAGCAGAACCCAATGCTATTCAGTGTTAACACATTAATATTCAATAAACAAAAGAGCCTTAAGAGATGTCTGTGGACAGAAAGCCCTACAGAAAACATGAAGGAAATGGAAATCCTGAGGGGAAAAAAAAAATCCCAAAAAGAATCATGAGAGCATGTTGTGTTTAGGGTTGGACTGCCAATAGAAACCTGTGAGAGTTCTCTTCCTGAACTATTAGGAGAGATGCTTGGTAGGTAGCACCTACCAAGAGCGAGTTTTTGGAAAACCCGTCAAAAGTTCACACCAACATTGCTGGAGCTATGCAAGAGCACAGACTGTGAGTGTCATAATGGTGCCATGAGGCAGGTCTGACAGTAATGCAACTCCTGTGTGAAAAAGTCTTCTGTATTGACAAGGGCAAAGATAGAAGGAGACTAGGAAATTTTTAGAAGATCATCACTTTGTGCATTACAATGAAGAGAAATTACCATGAAGTTGTAGTCGGTCAAGATGATAATGTGTCCTTTGGGTTAACTGAAGTTCACTGTAATGTTAATATTTTAGCAGTTAAAATTGCCACACTTACTTGGTAGGATATGTGACAAGATAAAAGCCTGTTCTGAGTTAGATTGAAGTTGACTGATGTAAATCTCTTGCCAGAAAAATTATGTCAGATTGATTATGGAAAGATAGAGCAGCATCTGCACCTCTTCCAATTAGTAAATGCTATGGAAAACATTAAGTAAAATAACAATCATATGAACTAGCCAATCTGCAAAGATATGTGAATTCCTTATCCAAAGCATCACAAAACGAGCCTAGAATTGCTGATTGCTCTGTTTTGATGGATTTATTTCCACTATGGGTACATACGGCAATTCAGCATGAAGATTCATCTTCAAATAGATGATGTGGGTTTCCCTGTAATTTAGTGAAGCAGATATATGTAAGCTTCATATAGATGTCAGCACTTTTACTTAGACTCCCTATCCAAACCCTGTAGGCCATTCTTGGCTTAAATGTGTGCCAGGTGCATGTTGCACCTGAGACTTGCAGCCAGGGGACAGATGGTGGAACAGCATGGCTACAACGTGTAGCTGTTGTCAGGATAGGAATAGGCTCTAAGGTGGAGTTACTTGCACAAGAAAAACTGCTTTGTCCTTCATTCCCTGCCGTCTCCCAGTTTCACCCCCTGCACTGGTTTTCCTGTTCTTTGATCCTCCTGCCCAGTGCCTTGCAGGTGAAGTTGCACAGGCTCAAGTTGGACAAGATATCCTGTACATTCCATGTCTGTGTCCCTTCAGAACTGGACCTTTGGTTGTGTTCTGGAAAACAAGACAACCCTTGCTAGCTTTTGATGTCAACAAGAGTTTGTGGAAATAAACACCATCCTTAAGATAGATCTGCCTTGCATTTATACCAGGTGTCTGCTATGACTGTGCTGAGAGATTCACAAATGCCCCTGTTGCTTTGGGAGCCTGGGATTTAATGTTGCAGGACTCTGGATTCCCCACCTGGTTCTAGAGACTTTGTTGTTCACATTTTTGCTTTCAGCATAACCAGCCTAATTAAGTTTAAATACTAATATAATTCAATTTTGGCAGCCTCTCATAATTTTTGTGTTTCGTTTGTCAACTGCCACTGTCAGTCACTATAATGCCATGTATTGTGGCATTGTCCTTGCATTTAATTATTGCTGATGCCTGTAATATAATTTGGCACCAACAGATATGTCTTTGCCTGCCAGTAATTTGAGAACAGAGTGATATGGACAAATGATAGAACTGTCTCCTTTTTGTCATCCAGGTTTCATCCCCATCCCCTGCTTTAGTTGGACACTTTTTCATGGCAAAGCAATGTTGACATATATATATTTTTCAGTAACAATACATATATTATGTGATAAAATATATTTGTTTGTAGTGCAGGTACATCAACAATAAAATAATGTAAATGCCAAAATAAATAAAAATTTGCTGTGAGGGCTTTCAAAATCAACAGTATAATGTGACAAAGACAAAGCTAAAATAGAATGGCCACTACTTAGTTATTTCAAGCCAAAATTAAAATGCATTCAGCTTTTTAACTTTGTTGGATATAACTCAAGCAAAAAAAAATATTCCAGTGAGATATAGATATGCATATATGTGGAAGTCCTTATGTAGGAGATGTTTTAATTGTGGCATTACAAAAGTTCTAATAGTTCTCATTTCAAGAATGCTAGAGATTTTGAAACATACTGTTTTCTGATGTTTTGAAAAGCTAGGTAAATATTTATGTTACTGCTTAAAAGGCAATTTTTTAGCAGCACTGGAGAGAAGCAGGTGCATATTTCTGATGGTGATGTGCAGATGATGGCTTGTCAGGAAGACATCAAAGTGCTTCACAGCTATCATGATGCCAACAGATAGGAAAGAGGTTGTTTCAACAGAAAAGGCAGGTGATCTTGATTATATTTTCAGACATTACCTGAAAAGGTTTCCCAATTCTGTGCCTTGGCTTCCATTTTTGAAGTATTACACTGATTTGTAAAGTGCTTTAACCAGTTGGGTCAAGTATCTCTCAGCCCCAGGCCCCCACCCCAAAACTGCTGTCTAGAAAGTACTTTGGGTTGGCATTGACTGCTGGATTCAGCTCACAGTATATGTAGTACATATAGTGTGCGCAAGCAGCCCCTAGTGACTGAAGGTTTGGGGACCAAAGAATTCTCCACTGCTGGATTCTAACTTTTCTGAAAGCAGCTTCTGTGAGGTAACCTTGAGACTATACGCATAGTTGAGTCTGAATTCTGTTTCTCATAACAAATGAATTGTTTTCTAGTCCTGTTAAAAAAGGTCCCTCTTAAACTTAAATATGCAAAAATGCCAGTGTGAATTGGTGTAAATTGACTTTTTGTAATCTCTTAGTTTCAGTATCAATCAGGATAATAGATGAGAAATGACCTTGCATGCATGTACTGCAGTAAATTGGGTCCAACAGAAAAGATGTGACCAACACCACCACAGAACACCCAGAAGCAAATCTCCTCCCTACTTTAGAAATTTCAAGTTAAAATTGAAGTTTTTCTGCCTGTTATGTCTTTAGGTCTTACGTCACCTAAAGGGGTTTATGTGTAAAGAGCCTTATTAATCATGGTTAAGAGATGATGATAGCAGCAGGGGACATGGAACAGAGCAAGGGTGAGACTGCGGCTTCTGAGTGAGTGGTGTTGATGGGAGGCACTGACAGGTTGGCCAGTGAGGAGAGCCAGGTAGGCTGTGCTGTGCCATGCTTCAGGGAACCAGTGGGAGCAAGGAAATGGTGTCTGCTGGACAAGGGATGCTGCAACCTGGCTTGGAGCACAGAGCTGGCCTTTCTGAAGTTTCCTGCTAGTTCAGTCCTTGCAGAGAAGCAGAGGCAAAGAAATACAATGTTTTGATACTGCAGCAGACAGGAAGAGTGTTGCATTTCTTTTTAAACTGCCTTAGGCCCCCACTGTTGATGTATAATGAAAGACATGATTTAATATACTTTAGCTGCTGCCTGTAAACTGCTTGCTGTTTGTCACTGAAGCCAAATTGCCTCTCTTCTTGCCCTGCTTGCCCTTTCCTTATTTTAGTGCTTTTGCAGGCAACACTTCCAATTAAGCCTGCAAAAGCACTACTTGAGTGAATGAGTTTGCAAGGGACATGTGTGCACTTGGTTCCTGGAAACAACAGAAAGGAAGTTACTTTCTTTTGTTGTATGAATTTTCCCTCAAAGAAACATAGAAATGAAACTATCTTCAGTTATGTAAGATGCTTTTCAACCACAATTCTTAGTTTGTGTTTCCCACGGTAACTGGGCATAATTGTTGCATGGTCCTGTTCTTGCAGAACAGAAATTACTGGAGTTAAAAGCACTGAAAGAGTCTAAATTCTAATTTAAATTTTGGAATTAATTCTACTTTAAGGAATTTCATGATCTTTGTAGGTTACTACTTGAAAATGTTTGAACCACATGTTTACTAGCAAGAAGATCAATATAAAGTATGTTGCAATTGAATTGATTATCAGATGTAATATTAGGACTTTGCAGTGGGATGGGGTTAACTACACTTCTTAGTTCTTACACTGCTTAGTTGCAGTATGCATTATTAACTAAGGCAATGCAAATGCTTTTGGAAGTTTTGC